GCAATGAGATGGTAATAGATTTTAGTTTAGAACAAGCTTTCCAGCCAGAATACTAAAACACGCAACAGAGAATTTCCCTGGTATGTGTTTGTGAAATGGATTTTCTAAATGTTAAAGCAGTGTATAACCTGACAATTGGGTCTCTGCAAATAAACCACAGAATCATAAGCATCCTTGACATATTTAGAGTGCTTAAAAATATTTGGATCAATCCAATGTACAGCTAGAATCGCATATAGTGCCCAGTGTCAGTAACCAGTTTGTGTAGGCAGGCTGCTTGTTCACAGTGTGTTGTCACAGTGCCATGTCGGCGCATGTAGAAACTTCTGGAAACTCCTTTTGGAATCTGCAGTCAGTTAAGGTTCTGTGCAGGTCTGTGATTGCAGAAGGTGGAACAGTTTTATTTCTGATTCTGTGCTGCCTAATGTATTTTAATGGCTGTTTTTAATCAGCATTTCATAATTGTATTGGTTTTAAGGGATCTTCTGTTACTGTTAACTCCCTGGGGAGCCTTTGTGGTTTAAAGGCCAGGTAAAAGTAGAGTGACTGGACTGCTTTGCTTTGTGTTCCTTTGCTAGCTTAAGGCCTGTGGATCTTGAGGTGGGATCTGGGTTTCCTTAAGGAGAAGGGAGAAGCACACATTTATCTTTTACAGATCCCATCTTGAAGGGTTCAGCTGCACATGAGTCTGGAAGTTCTATGAATGGAGCTTCCAGTGTTCTTATTCCTTGAAAAATCAGGCATGTGGGCCCCGTGGTTCAGATGAGAGTTGTGCCATGAGCGGAGGAGAGGTTTAAGTTTCCCCCCTCTGCCATTTTTTCCACCTTGGCTTGAAGGAGTTTCTGTTGTCTCATTGGGGTAAACATACAGGTACTTGAATCAGTAGTCTTAAGTCTAGTGGGGCAAATAGCAACTCACCAAGACCATTTCAGATCAGAAGGCTTAACCTACTCCAAGTGCTGTGGTCCCAATCTGACTTTGGCCATGAGTGCCTGATTTTTCAGGGAAATGAAACACTGGATCCTCTATTTATGGCACTCCAAGCGTCACATGAAGTCAAGTTTTTAATCTTTAATCTGAGCCTGAAGGTGCAACAGTTAGTTGCTGTTGTCAAGGCAGACACATCCATTCTCCGAATTAATTATGTTCCAGTAATTGGCAATGGGTAGCCTTAAAAAAGTGAAATTTCATTAGCATAGCCTTTCTGGGACATGTTAAAAGATGATCTTATTTCTTGCTTATTTAAAACCTTTATAAAGCCATAATTTCTGCTGCGGAAAAGACAAACAAATATACAAACCAGGCAATACACTTTAAAATTTATATCCAACATTTATGAAAACAATAATCAATAAGACCACTCAATAAAACGAGTAGAATAACAGAAGAAATATCCACAACATGATACAGTTTAGATTAGCTCCAGTTAGGAAGTGGTGACTAGGGCGTGTGCGCTAGAAAAGTTGTTTTAAGTTCGTGTTTTAGGAGTAGGGATGGCCACAAACTGCCTCACAAGCTAAAGTTAGTCATGAATTTTGCCTGTTTCATGCTTCAAGAAGTGAAGTTTGCGGCAGGGCGCCCGGCATGAACATTCCACAAACTTTGATGTTGTTTGTGGAGGTTTGTGAATGGTTAAATTTCCAGACACTGTCTCCACTCAATTAAGATGTTTACCAAACTTCAAAGCAACGGGGGGGGCAGAATTCTCCAGCCGTGGAAACACCAAAAGGGTCCCTTCCAAAGCTCAACAGGCACTGGTGGCTGCCAGTAACAGAGTTTCCATTCTGCTCTATGGTATCAGAATGCTGTATATGCTCTCAGCTCTCCCCACCCTCTCCTTTGTTGGCTGTTGACAGACAGAGAGAGTGGGAACTTTTTAAAAGCAGAGCAGATTCATAGTTTTCTAATTGTGAGCTTCTCTCCCCTGCTGGGGTTTAGGTGTTTCTGGACTCAGGGCTCTGAGCCACCCCGTCTCTGCTCATGCCAAGCAGTGGGGCTTAGCTACTTGGTGCCTCAGCTGAGGACCCAGATTTTGATTGTGAACTCTTCTCCCCTGCTGGGGTTTGGGTGTTAGGTGGACTTAGGGCTTTGAGCTGCTCCATTTCACCGCTCTGATCGTGAACTCCTCTCCCCTTCTGGAGTTAGGGTGTTAGGTGGGCTCAGGACTCTGAGCTACCCCATATCTCTGTTCTGATTGTGAACGACTCGTGGGGCTTCTCTATGGTTGGGTTCTTTGAGGCAGATATGCTGGGCTGTGGCCTCCCCCCCCCCCACTGCCTCTTCCACCCATTGTTCCCTCTGACCACATCTGTTGGCCTGTAGCCTCCACACTTCTTTGCAGAGTTCACGCTTCCACTGCATGAGCTCTGCATTCAGGAGAGTGATGCTGCCTTTTATCTGGGGGTCACAGATACAGGCCAGCTTGTACTCCCCTTTCTTGCAGAAAGGATGCAACCTGGTGGTGATGCCCACCTGCAGTCTCTCTGCCAAGGCCCTGACCCATGAGAGAACAGCCGTCCCCTTGGGCCCCGGCTTCAGTATGGAGGCCAGCACCCGGTCCTGCCCTCAAATCAGGGAGATGACATCAGTAGTGTCCTGGAAGGGCTTGAGGACATGCACTGTTTGGGAGATGATCACCCAGTCATTGGAGCTGATGCTGGCCTCCTCTTCCCTGTGCAGGATAGTCGTGGAGGAGATGACATCTTGCACTGCACTCTTCTGCTCCACCAAATGCGCAATCATGGTGTAGGTGGAGTTCCTCATCCCCCCTCCCGCCTCTCAGCAGATAGGCAGAATAATGCCCCTGCGAGAAGTGGGCGGCCAGCCACTGGCAGGTCTTGAGCATGGACCGCATCTTCGGGGGGGCAGTGTCCCAGGTGGCATTGACAGTGCTCCCCATCCCCAGAGCATCCTTCACCACCAGATGAAATGTGTGCACCAGGCAAACAATGCCCTTGAGGCGCATAGTCTTCCCTTCACCACTGCCAGCATGTTGGTGCTGGCGTCCGTGACCATGTAGCCATGGTGGATGATGTTGCTGCTGCCCACCCACTCCCTCAGGCTACTCTGTATTATGGCAGTGGCATTTTGCATCATGTGGACTGTGTCCATCCTCTGTACATGGAGCAGAACCACTTTGTAGCCCGGTAACAGGACTGTTCTCCTGGGGCCTGGGCCATGTCCTGACAATCCTGCCTGCTCCATAGGTCTGCCATGAAGTGCACAGCTCTGCCTTTGCACTCTGGAGAGTAGAGCCTTAACCATCACCACTGCAGCTGTCAAAAGGCTATGTCCTCCATGAGGAAGTAGGGTTGGCCGTGCACATCACAGCAAACCGTCCAGGGCTTTAATCCGGCCTGTGAGCCTCCCCAACACGCCCAACAGCTTTGCAAAGTCAGGAGTTCACTTGATCGCACTGGCTGGCCTCGTGTCAATTCTGCGGGCTCTATAAGTTGCCCACCTGTTGGGGTAGAGCAGCTGCCCTGCAGCCTTCTCCCCTCCTCACCCAAGCAGCTTTGCAAAGGAGGGAGCTCACTCTTCAGTGCCCCCCCACATTGAGGGCTGGTAGGCCCTTAGGCTCCATTTCTAGGTCCCAATTACCCCCAAATAAAGTCTTTTTATTCTAAAATGACAGTCTCCAGATTTTGATTCAATAATTCAGAGCAAGAGGTGTCAGTTATCAAAGGCTGTTAAATAAACAAAATGTTGCAAGAGTGTTAATGTTTCAAGCATGTTAAGTAAAAAACAATCTTTAATTGTGTTTCTGTGTCCTTTATAAAGGTTTTATGACACACATGGCCCAGCAAAGTCCCATTTATATCAGATTTGGCCCTCATAGCAAATAAGTTTGACACCACTGCTCTAAGTCTGATCTGCACATAACTTGGAGGGCAGGTAGAGGAAAGTCACCCAGAGATCCCCTGTGAGTTTGGTGTCTCTAGCATGGGGGGGGGGGGGGGCATTCTACTGCGTCACAAACTGAACTGGCTTGTTTAGCCTCTAAAAATTTGTAGCAGTTTGTGATTTGTGAATCAGGCACGCCATGAACCAAACTGCATTTTCCTAGTTTGTGCCCATCCCTAATTAGGAGGTTGGGAAGGGCATGCTTATTGATGCTTATTGTTATGGCTAAGTTTGGGGAGTATTATCATTTTAGAGAGTTATTCCACATATTGGAATATTCCTGATATTTAATGATAAGGGTAAGCATGCCCTTCCTGTCTCCCATGTGAAATAAAAAAAGGGGAGAGAGGAACAATAAAGACGGCCCAGCTGATCTGTGGTGCATGGGCCCTTTAAATTATTTTTATTATTTCCTATGGGGTGGGCATGGCCTCAGAAATCTATAGGCTAAGTCTACCCCATGGTGCATGTGTCCTTCAAATTTTAAAGGGGCCATGTCCACCCCCCCCCCCAACCATCTTGAGTGTGTATGCTCTAAATAATGGGTGGTAAACCTGGTCTTTGGAGTCTGAAGGCCAGTTCTACTGCCCATAACTGGCCTTGGGCTTGGACTTACCTGTCAAGCAGGACCCCACTCCTGCCAATCTGGCCCATTTACAGCCCTGCTGGGGTTGCAGAATTGTGCTGTGCCCCTCTGGCAGCCCTGGGGTAGTTTTCCAAGTTTTGTTTTTTTAATCTAGCACCTTGAGAGTGAGGTGTTCTTAAATGCATTAAAATTGATTGGTTTAAGAATGTCTAATTCCATGGTGGACTGACATTTATTCTCAGTGCATTTTATGGGAGGTATAACAAGAACTAAACACAGAATCTACTTTTAGAATCTAATTGCCTCTTCCTAGGGCTTCATTGTAAATGGTAGTCTTTCAGCTTCTGTGTAGCTAGCAAGTAAAGGCATTCTCTATTCCCATATAACCTATCAAATTGTCACCTAAAATATGGAAACATGTAAGAAGAGGTTTCCAGATTAACAATGTGTGATACCTTTTGGATTTCTGCATGTTGGAAAAGCACAATAAAATATAATTCCAATTCCTTAGGATACAAGGACCCCATACAGTTTCTGAGTGAAGTCATAGCCCAGCTGGATGCAGTTGTCAGTTTTGCTCATGCGTCGAATGTCGCACCTGTGCCCTATGTACGCCCAGAGATTCTGGAAATGGGAGAAAGGAGGATTATACTGAAAGGCTCAAGACACCCCTGTATCGAAGTTCAAGATGATGTTGCCTTCATTCCAAATGATGTGACCTTTGAGGGCGACAGTCAGATGTTCCACATCATTACTGGTAAATACTTCATTTTTATGCCATATTATTATTTTCTTCTGTCTTTTGAGTTGTGTTGTTTTGGGTTTTTGTTTTTAGAAGCATCTGTTTCCAGACTGCAAAACAGACAGGAAAAGGGAGCTTAATTTCTCCAAACCAGTATTTGCATTTTGGGGGCTTTTGGTATGAACAAGGGAACTGAGCATTTCAGGCTGGCGTAACTCTACATGTTCCACTTTTGGTTTTGATGAGTGGGTGATGTCTATTGTGCAATTACCCCAACATACAAACTTGTGGAGATCATTTTCATGACATGTAGAAGAATAAAGAGCCATGAGGCAGCTTGTGCTTGCATGAGTGGCTGTGTAGGAGCAAACTTACCTCTGTAGCTTGTTACTTACGTTTTGCCTTAATCCATCCTTATAACAACTTTCAGGTACACTGTCTTGGTTTTTTTCCTAGCACAGAGTACCCCACAAGCCAGTTGTGGTTCTCTTCTGAACTTCAGAGATGCTTCAGTTTTTAATTTCTTTGACTTTCAAGATCTTCAGCTTTTTTAACATCACAGTTTGAAAACTATTGGTGCAGTAAGGGAGGACTGAAATGTTAATATTTTGAAAAGAGCTTGAGTTTGTAGTACAGGGTCTTTCCCCCCATTTGGCCCTAGTTTATCGATACGTACCACCACGGCCCATTAATTCAGATCAGCTGATTTCTCCAAAGCTGAAATGTTGGCAAACTGCTCTAATGCCTTTCTTTCCAGTGTGAATGTCAGCAGAGACTTTGGCCAGGTGTCAGCAGAGACTTCTTTGCTCAAACCTGTCAGCTGATCACTTTCATGCATAAGCCAAGGCCAGGTAAAGCAGGTGAAATGCATAGTTAAGGGAAGTCTCTGATGCTGTTCATTCTGGGAAGAAAAACCCTTTACTACTTGTGTTCTAGCTTTCACGAAGATTATTAATTCATGGGAAGCTATCATGTTGCTTGCCCTTTGCCTCTTGTTGGATTCACAATATGTCCTAATTTGGAAACTGAGTTGTTGGCCAGATTCTAGCTGGTGATGATCATTGCTGTTCAAACAGCCAGTAGGTTTTTCATTTTGCATAAAGATATTAAGAATTTTTATTCCTGAAAAAGGTGAAATTAGTGACTTGCTGAAGTCATCATTACAGAATATTTGCCATAGAAAGTTGCCAAGGCTGTCAACCAGTCCTTCTGTGGGGGTAAAGAATTAATTGAAATAAATTTTCAAATATGTTTTCTGGACCAAGCACAAGAATGTTTTCAACAGATTTTAATAAACTGAGGTTCAATCCCAACAAGATGGAAGTACTACTGAACGTCTGACCTGGGAGTTAAGGTGTGACCCGTTCTGGATGGGGTTGCACTCCCCTTGAGGGAACAGGTCTGTAGTCTGGGGGTGCTCTTGGACCCAAGGCCTACTGCTAGATAAGCAGGTGGCAGCTGTGGCAATGAGTGACTTTTATCAGCTTTGACTCATTAGCCAGCTGTGGCTTTTCCTGGACACGCACTATGGTGCATGCCCTGGTTACGTCTAGATTAGATTACTGCAATGTGCTCTACGTGGGGCTGCCCTTGAAAAATGTTTGAAAACTTCAATTGGTAAAGAATGTTGCAGGCAGGCAGGCTGTTGACTGGAGTGGGTCGTAGGGACCCTATCACTCCCGGCTTGGCCCACCTACACTGCCTTCCACTTTGTTTCTGGGCATGACTCAAGGTGCTGATCTTGACCTTCAAAGCCCTATATGGTTTGGGACCAACTTACCTGAAGAGCCACCTAATTCTTATGAACCTGTCCAGTCATTACAGTCATCTCCAGAGGCCCTGCTTTGGGTGCCTCCGCCTAGATTTTATAAATGGATTTTAGGGTGCTAAAATGACCTTCCAGCTAATACTAATGGTAATGCCTCTACAGGACCGAACATGGGAGGGAAATCAACCTACATTCGCCAGACCGGTGTGATAGTTCTTATGGCTCAAATTGGGTGTTTTGTGCCCTGTGACTCTGCAGAGGTGTCTATTGTCGATAGTATACTGGCTCGAGTAGGAGCTGGAGACAGTCAGCTGAAGGGGGTGTCTACCTTCATGGCAGAAATGCTGGAAACATCTTCCATCCTTAGGTAAGAGCTGTGTTTGCTTTTGTGGTATGTGCCAGGTAAGGCCTTGCAGGAATTTATGAACATGAACAGATCCTGCTGGATCAGACCAGTGATCCATCAAGACCAGCATACTGTTTCACACAGTGGCTAACCAGGTGCCCTTGAAAGCCAGCTAACAGGGCCTAGGAGCCAAGACTTAACCTGTTGCTGCCTCCTGGCACTGGTGTTCAGAGCTTTGCTGCCTCTGTAGATGGAGGCTCCTTTCTGTCACCATGCCCAGGAGCCCCGGTGGTCCCTCCCCTCCATGAGTCTGTCTACCACCACCACCCCGGTTAAAGCCATCAGTGCTCATAGTTGTCACTTACCTGTGCTGGCAGTGAATTTCACAGGTTAATTATTGAGTAAAGAAGTGTTTCCTTTTGTCTGTCCTGAACCTCATTTCCCAACAATTTGTGGTGAACCTCATTTCCCAACAATTTGTGGTGCACCTGAGTTCTAGTATTATGGGAAATTTGTGCAGGTCCAATCATCTCCTGCTAGATGATACTATTTTGTGGAAAGAAGGTATTATTTTTAGTGCTTCTGTCTGCTCTGCCATTGCTTATGCACATCATGGCATTCTTGCTGTTTTTGACAAACGTCCTGCTGAGGGAGGTTCTTGATGTACCTCTAGGCTATGTTCTCCACACAGCCCCTGTTAATGTCTCCACTCTTCCCTGGCCACCTGTGGGGTTTTGGAGCCCTTACAATCCTACCTGTGCCCTCGTGTGTTCTGCTTTAGTCCTCAAAGGTATCAGTGGTCGCTTCTCTTAGGCAGATAGCAGCAGAAATAAAAACTTTTTGTTGTCTTTTTATGCAACAGACAAACATGGCTACTCCCTGCTCCCAGTTATGTTATCATAAGTTTCTGTGTCATAATGGTGCCTTGCCTGTTCTGATGTCTTGTTCCTGATTGTATTTTTTATATTTATTTATTTATTCGAGTATTTCTACCCCGCCCTACCCCGCAAGAGAGAGAAGGGAGGTATAGCTAGAAAACCCAGAGGTTCATTTGGAGAGGAGTGCTTACTGAGAAAGTATTGAAAGAGAAATTGATCAGATGTTTTACAGTGTCCGGGTTTCCTATTCTGTTTGCTGTTGAAGTTAGCAAAATTGTAACACCCTTTACAGTGTACTGCTCTGTTATTTTTAGGTCTGCTACAGAAAACTCATTGATAATCATCGATGAACTGGGAAGAGGAACTTCTACATATGATGGCTTTGGGTTGGCATGGGCTATCTCAGAATATATTGCCACCAAAATTGGAGCTTTCTGTATGTTTGCAACTCATTTCCATGAATTGACAGCTCTTGCTGACCAGGTTCCCTCTGTGAATAACTTGCATGTCACAGCGCTGACCACTGAGGACTCCCTGACGATGTTGTACCGTGTGAAAAAAGGTGAGCGAGACCCCAAAGTTGGAATGAAGAAAACCCATCTTGGTTAATATATCGCAAAGATATACTAGGTTTCCCCATGACCTTCAATAGCCATTTGTCTCAAAGGCAGCTTTTTATATATTTCAAAATAGCATGTTTTTTAGCCTCTTAGCTTAACCATGCCCTGACCATTGTTTCCTTCCACTTCTTGGTACAGATGTAATAGCAATGCTTTCCTGTGTTTTAAGGAAAACTTAACCATGGGTATGCATTAAGTCTGGGAAGTATAAGCATGGCTGCGGCCAGCTGCAAACCAGAATGTGCAATTATGAATTAAAGAGGTCTTACACTGGTTGTCTGTGGTTGCTGTCTTGAGAATCCTTCCCTTTGATTAATCATGTATAATGTTTTTGTTAATACCAAACAAAAGGGCATTTTCCTGTTGCACTGGGGTCACAATTTCCTAATTTATTACTACTTTAAGTTGCTTGCTATGACATGGCCTGAAAACCACTGAATAAGTTCCAAGTTTCAAATTTGGTGATCTCCAACCTTCCTGGAATTACATTTGGCTGCTAGAAGAGTGTTTGAGAATTAAAACCAGTAATGCTTCTTCCAGGGTTTTGTGACCAGAGTTTTGGAATCCACGTAGCAGAGCTTGCTGCCTTTCCACAACATGTGATAGAGAATGCAAAGGCAAAAGCTCTGGAATTAGAGGAGTTCCAGCATACTGGAAAGCCCCAGGAGGCGGATGAAGAACCAGCAGCCAAAAGATGCTACGAAGAAAAGCAGGTTTGTTAACATGCATCATTATGAATGAAAAGGGAACAAATGCTGCTTGAATCAGTGCCAGTGAGAATGTAATATGAATGCACATCCTCTTGAACACTACCTTATACTGAATTAAAACATTGATCCATCAAAGTCAGATGAAGTTGAATTCATCCGAGACGGAGGTCATGTGGCTGGGAAAGACTGAGGTGCTAGCTGGAGGGTCACTCCTGAGACTCGATGGTATCCAGTTGACAGCTGTAGACTCTGTAAAGAGCCTCAGGGTGTGGTTAGATTCTGTGCTGTCCCTGGATAAACAAGTGTCCATGGTGGCACAGTCAGTGTTTTTTCACCTGTGCCAGGTCTGTCAGCTGGCTCCTTATTTGTTTGGTTCAGACCTTGCCGCATTGATCCACACAACGGTCACCTCCAAAGTGAACCACTGCAATTCGTTCTACATAGGGCTACCCTTGAGAATGCTTTGGAAACTGCAGGTGGTCCAGAATGCAGCTGCCAGGTTGCTGACGGGAACATCACGGTTATCTCATATTACTCCAATTTGGTGGCAGCTGCACTGGCTATCGATTAGTCTCCAGATCCAATTCAAGGTGTTGGTGTTAACCTTTAAAGCCCTTAATGGTCTGGGGCCACAGTTCCCCATAGCGTGTGTTTGTGTGCAGTCTTGCAGGGATTTCTCCCAGTGGATGCACAGCTTCTCCTCCTCTACGCTGGGGAGATTCCTCTGGCATGCCCCTCCCACCCACTTAGGTAGCCTGCCGGCAAAGGGGGCTGCTCACATGTGCTTGCCTGTTGGCCTGAAATAGGAGCTACCCCCTTGCTTGCTTCTACCACGCTGCGGTTTCCCGCGCAGCTCTTCCAAGCATCTTCCCGGCTGACTGCTCCTGGAGGACATCACCTCAAAGCATCAGCCAGCTGGGGTAGGTAGCAGATAGGCTTGGGCTGTGGGGAGACTGCCAGGGGAGGGATGTGTGTGAAGCCTAGCCCTGGTAGCTGGCAGGGACCGCCAGCGATCCTGGGGGGGGGGGGGGACAGGGGGCCTGGGGCCACACT